AACTTACCCACATTCAAGTGTTTAAAAAAAGAATGCATGAAGCTAGAATAAAATGTTTTTGTTTACAAGCAGATCGTCTCAGGTTACTTATGTAACCATGGTTCCCTGAGTAGGCAACGAGACACTGCGTCCTCTAGGGGTCGCTATGGGGAACGCCTCGTCGTGACCCGTGTCTGAAGCATACATTGAAAAAACACCAACAACACGTTGACCGGCGACAGCCATGATGTCACTACCGGTGCAACTGTAGTATAAATAGGTGCCGGGAGAACACATCATCCACTTCTTCGTCTGAAGATTGCATCCGAAGCATGGCAGGAAACCTAGAGGACGCAGTGTCTCGTTGCCTACTCAGGGAACCATGGTTACATATGTAACCTGAGACGTTTAGTGTCTTCAAAAAGACCGTTAGCATCACAACTGTTAACTAGCTATAGAGGCTAACTATTAGAGGTAAGCTAACTATAGATTTGAGCTCTTATTAATGAAAGTTTGAGCTTTTAATCACATTTTATGTGTAGATGAGCGGTTTTGATAGTTTGTAAATGTTTTGCTGGTACTTTGTCAATAGATAAATGGAAGTAACTATAAGCTAATTAATTTAACCTAAAAGTCTGCACTGTGGGGTCAATCGGTGACGTCACTTACATGAACTAATGGGCTGAAACTATTTCAAACACGTTTTGAACTTTCATTGCAAACAAATATTGATAAATTGTAACGTTACTGTGATTTTAGGAGCATCAGAAAAAAAACCTAAAACGGGAAGTTACAAGAAAATTTGTAATGGGAGCTGCTGACAGAGATACAGGAAACACAGGTGATCTGAGAAATCGTATTAAGTAACTTTATGCATTTTTCACAATATATTTCAACTATATCATCATGCATCTGTAAAACCTAAAAATGTGAATTCTGGTATCTTAAGATGTTTTTGTTATGTTTTGTATATTATTATTTCTCTTTTCTGCATTTCACCTCTGCTGTAGTTTGTTTTTTCTAATAAACCTGACATTGTATACTACATATTGTTGGCTATGTGACACATTGTTCCTATATTCTTCAATGCTGATGGTGCTACAGAGCTTGAGCGGATCTCCTGTCGAAGAACATCTCCAAGGGGCGCAGATCAGCTCTAACGTCACTGAATCTGCTGTTAAAAATGAAGAATCTATTCATCGTATCATCATGCAAAACATACACGACAAACAGCAAATTTTTCATTGTTTCTCGAAACGTCATAGCATTTCCACACCGGCGATGACATGACTGCGGCGCCAAATCATTTATGTCCCCACGCATCATGTATGTCGTCACGCGTTGACGTCATCAAATTGCGATCGGTTCCTGAGATCGGCCAAGTTGGTGAGTACCGATCGAGTCATAAAATATGATTATCGATTGGAGCATCCCTACTTATTTGCACTCTTGAAGACTGTTCACCAAAGACTAACTTTCCGTCCGGCAGAATTTTCTGGCCCATTTGTATGGCCTAAATATGGCCCATTTGTGGCCCATATTTTGGCTGCCAGGTTTAGTTTGCCTGTGGATCAGGCTCGGGTGTGGCTCAGTTTTGGGCTTTCTGGTTAAAGATTGGTGTTGATATGGTTTACTTAAGGTTGTGTTTTAGTTCCAATGTTACATTTTGATCTGGCCCAATTCAGGGCCAGTTATGGGTAATTAACTTGGCTGAGACTTGGGCCAGTTATGGCCCATGTGTGGCCCTTGTCTGGAATCCAGACCTGGTCCACACTAGGACCGTAATTCATTGCGGTATGGGGGCCAAGCAAAAGCTGGTTGTGTGGGCCGGAGCTGGGCCAGAGAAAAATTGCTATGTGGGATTTAGCTCATATGGCTCAGAGACGCAAATTGGAATTATATTTGTTGGCGAAATAGAGCAAAAACAGTCCATTTTATGTCTAAAAGTAAGTGTCGTAATATTAAATTATTGTTTATTGAACTGCTGTATAAAAATCACTATCACATTTGTAATCATGCTGCTTTTTGGTGAAAAAAAAACGCGTCTTCACGTGATACTGATTAACTATATTAAATGATATAAATATATACATTTCTGCCCCCATATCTTGAATTTTGTGATCATTCTAAATGCATTTTAATAAACTGAATCATGCAGTGAAAGAACGCGCACTGGTCTAAACTACTAGACTTCCTATTGCCTTAGGTAAACTTTTACATGGTAGGTCTCTCATGAGTCATGGATGTTAGCAAGACAAATTAACCATATTTGCCTTTTGGATAATTAGCTGTAAATTCGAGACACAGGTAGCTTAGTCTGTTGTTCATCACATTATTCACCACTCACCTCCACACCAAGACAAACACAGTGGAAAGGGAGGGAGGGTTTCACTTCTGTGGCTCTCTGCCAGTCAGTGATGTGCATTACACGTGCCGATCAATGTGTGCTACACTGCTGTGCTGCGCCTGTGCGGAGGGGAGAAAGTCTCAACATTTCCTGACCCGACCTGATATTTAGATTTTTTTGTGCACAAACAGAAACACACACACGCACACATATATACATATATTCATTTATATATATATTCTGTCGCGTAAGAAAAAGGGCAGGTGCTCAAGCCCCCTTTTATGTCCATGTGTGCACGTGCCTGTTGGACGGCCCGTTTCATCGTGGACACACAGGACGAAAAAAAAAATCCTCGCTTTTTCGCACCGCGAATGATCGCGCCTGGTAT